AATGTGCGGAGTAGGGATTATAAGAAGCCTTAGCTATTCCTATCTTTCTTTGGAATTCCGTGATGAACAATAAAGGTGCATGCCACCCCAAGCTTTTCTAGGGAAATGTGAATGTTGGGGTGGCAGAGGGATTTTTGATGATGATCTCTGTGATCCTAAAGAATCAGGTGCATCCCCCAGGAATTGTTGCTTTGCTTTCAGAGGTCTGCATGTCTCTAAAGTGTGGCAAGAACGTCCCATGTTATTTTGCATCCCTAAAACTTCCTGTTCTCCTTCCAGAAAGACATGGGACTGCCTTGGGTGCTGCCAAGTATCTGTCCATGTCTGCAGGATATGATGCATGAGAATAAATGTGTATTTGGGAACAATCTCAGAGCTCTTCCAATTCCTAAGGGACAAAGGAATGCAAATTTACCATTGTGGACGGAGACCTTTTCTTTCCTTGCTGTTCAATGAATTTCTTTTTCCACCAAATAGCAGGATATTTTCAGAGCTGCACAGGGACTCTGGAATTATGTTTGACAGTAAAAGACATTGAGTTTAAAGTATCATAGTGCCTTTCAAGTCTGCTGAGATACTTAATAAGTTGAAGCCAATATTTTCTGGATGTGAGCAACCTCCCCCTTTTAGTTCTGAATTACTTTGGGAGCTGCAACTTAAAATACGCATTTTAAAATATTTAGAGCAAAAATAATTTACTATCCAGGCTTTTGCCAGCTCCCCAAATCAAAATGACGAAAAATAGCAACCATTAGTGTTAATGTGGTATACTCCAGTCATATTCTGTTGAGGCCTCAGTTAAGGTTGCTAAGGCCCATTACTTTCTGGAATAGGGGGCTCATCCTGTGACTGATGAAAGCAAAAGAGAAGAACACATTTTTCTCCAAATAAATTTTCAGAACATAAATGTAAAACACCAATCCCTTACAGAAGCAAGCAGTGGTATGAATTCATGGCTGTTTTATCTGGTAATGCAAACTAGTGGGACTCGGGGTGAGCCTTCTGGGGTCAGATAAAACAAATCTTCTGCTCTCTGAACTACAATTGCACTGGGTACATTATTGCTTGCTGAAGATCTTGCCCAGGGAGCTATTGCAGAGAAGCAGCCTCTTTGTATTCTGGCTGTTTGGAAAGCCTGGAGAGGAGACCACATGAAAAGCCTTTCAAGGTTTTCTCAGAGAACACAGAATGCACTGACAGGCTCTGGCCAATCCTGGTACAGCTGGGAAGGAAATGCTGGATTTCTGGTGGGTGTCTGGTTGCTGTTGGTGTGGACAAGTGTGTAGTTCTGCCTGTTTGATCAGGAGAGCTGACCCATCAAGTTGTGGCAGAGCACAATTTGCCTTTCCCCTCAGTTCCTCAGCAGTGGCATAGGGCTGATGGGGAAAGGTGTAAAATCAGAGCTCCTTGATCAACCTTCCATCAGTACAATGGAAGAAACAAAATGTTAGAGCTGGGGGATCTCTTGACCCACCTGCAAGGCAGACACCATGCAAAAGGAAAAGCCTAATGCACCTCTCTTTACCCAAGAGACCCCCCAGGATGCTCCGGGCAAAGCAGTCACGCCAATCTTTGTGGATGTCTCTGACAGCCTTTCATAAGCTGAGCCCTTTCTGGCAAGGAAGGCTGCTGGAGGATTCTTTTCAGTTCCATGTTTTTACTCTAATTCAAATTGCTAATCTGAGTTAAATCCTGACATTGGTTTTTGAGATCACGCCCGATTCGCTGCATATAATCTGACCTAGAGGGAAAGGTATTTTGTCTAATAAACAAATCATGGTACCACAATGATTTGTTGGCTACTAAATTCTTTTGACACCAATATTTTTGTTGTAACACAGCCGGCTGTGAGTTTAAGCAATCTTCTTTTGTTACTTAGCTGTATTGGAAAGTAATAATGACATAAAAGACAGTGAATGACAATGTTACAAAGTAGTCACAGATGGAGTACATGTGAGTTTTTGGTCACTCAGCTGACAGGCAAGGCTGCAGTAAAATCAATCCTGTCCAAACCTTGCTTTTCTTTACAGACATTTCAAAATCTTCTGACCCTCAAGTGATTGTGATGAAATCAAAGAAACTGGAAGAAGGCAACAGCACTGGCAAAGCAGCTTGTTTGGCAAGGAACTTCCCGACAAAGAACATCAGCTTGGAGATGCCCTCTCAGGAGGTCGTCTATGAACAGAGCACATCCATTTTGACATCCGAGGGGTTGTACAATGCAATTAAAGTGGCCAGGGTGACAAAAGACATGGAGGTGACCTGCACGGCCAAATTCGACAACCGCGTGATAACAGCACAGCCAGGTACAGTTTGGTGGCACAGCTGTCACTTACTTCTGGAGACAGTGGCCTGTGGGCTTTGTGTTCTCCTTCTGGACAGCACTGCCCTGGGCAGCCAGCAGAAATAAGAAATTTGGGATTTCAGGAGGGAGAGCTGAAAGATGTTTCAAAGCAGTGAAAAGAAATGGTTTCAACTATTTAATTCCTTTCAGATTCTTTTTTGGGGAGAAGACTGAAGACACAATCTATTTGTTCAAAATGTGAATTTCCTTGTGACTGAATATTTTAGCCTATAGCAGCAAACCTGTTGCAGCACAAGCTGGAACAGCCCTTCCAATACCAACACAACGTTAAAGGTGGCGTATGCTGTGAGAGTTTTTTAATTAAATGAATTGTTATATTTGGTGGGTTTACTCTTTTAGTCCAGAAGGTCATTCACATAGTAAAACCAAAACAATGCAGGACCTCTTCTGTCTCCTGCAACTGCATGGAGAAATTGTCTTTTCAAATTTATGTCAGAATTAATGCTGACCTGCTGAGGCCCAGTCAGTACTTTCCTCCGATTTTCTATGAGAAATGTCATCTGAACATTTTTTTAATCCTGTGTAAATGGTGGGTATAGTTTACAATGTGTTTTCTTTATCATGCTACAGAAGAGGAGGCTGAAGAACCAGTAACAGGGTTTGGAGAACCAAACAGAACCAGAACAGTGTCAGGGGCCAGTGACAGGGTTTGCAACAGCACAGCCCCCTCAGCACAAGGTGAGTTACCCCAACAGGATGTGAAGTTACATTGCTCTCTGGGGGATAAAGGCATGGAAATCTATTTTCTCCAGGGCAGAGGACTCAGAACACAACACATTCAGCACACACAAGCTGCTGTTCCAAGGTTGCTCCTGCACTTACATACGAGTCCCAGCAAAAAGCAACAGGGACAGACCCTGGGCTCCCATGTTGTTGCCATGTGTTCTCTCTTGGCTGTTCCTTTGCTGCTCTTCCTTTCCCTGAAACTGTCACCTGAGGATTTCCCACTTTCTGCCAAGATCACAACACCAAAAACTAGACCATGATCTCTCCCCTCTTTTCTGATCACTGAGCAGACCCTGAAGAGCAGAGAGTGAACATGCTGTCCATGGCTGTGGGCAAAGCAGTCACGCCAATCTTTGTGGATGTCTCTGACAGCCTTTCATAAGCTGAGCCCTTTCTGGCAAGGAAGGCTGCTGGAGGATTCTTTTCAGTTCCATGTTTTTACTCTAATTCAAATTGCTAATCTGAGTTAAATCCTGACATTGTTTTTTGAGATCACGCCCGATTCTCAACATATGACCAGACCTAGAGGCAAAGGTATCTTTTAAAAAAAATAAATTATAGTACCACAATGATTCATTGATTACTAAATTATTTTGAGAGAAACTGTTTTCTTGTAAGACAGCTGGCTGTGAGTTTAAGCAATCATCTTTTGTTACTTGCATGTCCTATGAGGAGGAATAATGACATAAAAGACAGTAAGTGGGATTGTTACAAATTAGTCACAGATGGAGTATATGTGAGTTTTAAGTCACTCAGCACTCAGGCAAGCCTGCAGTAAAATCAATCATGCCCAAACCATGGGGTTTCTAACATACAGTCCAAAAACTTCTCTCCTAGAGGTCATTGTGGAGAAATCAACTACACCACAAGATGCTGGCACCACTGTGAAAACAACACCTTTGCCAACGACTTTCCATACCAAGAACTTCAGCTCTGAGGAACAGAACACAACAGAGCTGATCTGCACGGACAAGTCTGACAGCAGCATGGTAACAATACTGCCAGGTACAGTTTGGTGGCACAGCTGCAACACATTTCTAGGGACAAGATCCTGTAGGGCTTGGTGTTCTCCTGCCAGTCAGCATTGCCCTGGGCAGCCAGCAGAATTCAGAAAGATACTTGGTATTTCAACAGGGAGAGCTGAAAGACGTTTCAAAGCATCTGAAAGACATGGTTTCAACTGTTTAATAACTATGGGAGAAAGAGGAAAGACACAATCTGTTTGATTAAAACATGAATTTCCTTATGACTCCATATTTCACCCTGCAGCAGCAAACTTGGTGCAGCACAACCTGGAACAGCTGATCCAACACCAACAAAAAGTTCCAAGTGGGGCATGTTTTGAGGTCTTTTTACTAAATCACATTTTATATTTTTTGATTTTCTGGGATTGTTTCTGTACTCCTGAAGGTCATTCAAGGTGCTGAAGGGGCTAGTAGGAGTGTTTGCAACAGCACAGCCCCCTCAGCACAAGGTGAGTTACCCCAACAGGATGTGAAGTTACATTGCTCTCTGGGGAATAGAGGCATGGAAATCTATTTTCTCCAGGGCAGAGGACTCAGAACACAACACATTCAGCACACACAAGCTGCTGTTCCAAGGATGCTTCTGCACTTACACACAAGCCCCAGGAAGCAAAAAGCAACAGGGACAGACCCTGGGCTCCCATGTTGTTGCCATGTTCTCTCTCGGCTGTTCCTTTGCTGCCCTTCCTTTCCCTGAAACTGTCACCTGTGGATTTCCCACTTTCTGCCAAGATCACAACACCAAGACCTAGACCATGATCTCTCCCCTCTTTTCTGGTCACTGAGCAGACCCTGAAGAGCAGAGAGTGAACATGCTGTCCATGGCTGTGCTGGGTTTGAGAGTCCTGCTGGCAAAAGGCATCGCCTTCAATATCCTCATGAGTATCAAGTTGTTTCTTTTCTGAGGTAAGGGAGCACACAGCTTAGTGTCTGGAAAGCCTGGAAGCATATGCCAGAAGTCACTGCCTTTCCCTGTGTCTGTCCCTAGCCCCACAAGGAATCATGCCTACTCATCTGCTCCTGTTTCCATTTCACAGCCCTTGCAAGTATTCTGGGGAAAAAAGACAACAACAACAATTGAACCACACACAAGAAAATCAATTTCCCCCTAAAAAAGCAATTAAGACAAGTCCACCTTGACTCCAAAAGGACAAAGGAAAAACCATTTTTCTGTATTCAAATCTCAGTTCTTGAGGCTGGTTCTCAGATTTTGTTTACCAGAGAAACTCTGGTATTACCTGAACAGCCTAAGAAATATCTCATTGACTATATCAAGTGACAAAGCACAAAGCCTGGAGAAAAATCCAGACAAATAAGGATTCAAAGGCAGGGATCACAAAACAAAAACATGTGAGAGTAAAGAGATGAAAGGGGAGAATTTTAAAATTAAAGTATCTGAAGAGAAGCAAAAGATTGTCCAGCCTAACTTTTGTGAGTGTATCTGTCCTCATCTGACAGTTATCAAGCAGTCGTTCATAGGCCCAGTTTCATTAAATGCACTTTAAACATCCCTTTGCTCTTCCAGACATGGGGAATGAACCCGAAGAAGAGCAGGAAAGAATGTGAACCAGCAGAAGAAGGGCGTGGAACAAGCAGGGGCAGAGCTGCAGACAGACACCACCCAGGACACAAGGCAGCNCACCTGCACACGGTCCTTGGCAACAGCTCCAGACAGTCCTGCTAGAGCAGGGGATACCCAGTCACCTCCAGAGATCTCTTCCAACCTCAATCCTTCTGGTGTTTCTGTGATTCCTTTCTCATACTGGGGGCAATGAGAAGAAGTTCAAAATTTCTTTATATACCTTTAGTCAGGGGTTTTGTTCACCTTTGCCCAGGGGGAAAGGAACTGAAGTTTCTTTTCAATGGACTGATCCAGCACGCCAGGCCGGATTAGCTTCACATCCCAGCAGATTGGGAGCAGCACAGAAGATACACAAAAGATAACAACCATAAACCAACATCAACTCCAAACATCAGCCCTGGCATGGTCAGAGACACCTGGTCTGGGAAAAGATCCATGAGAGAACCAAGAATGAGAACCAAAATAACACTGAAGGTGAAGGGATCAAAAAAAACCAAATACTACAAACTGTGGAACTTGGGACCAATGATCATTGAAGCAATGAATTTCCCTGGGTTTTGACTGTAGAAGTACAAGAACACTCCAGTGAAAACCTTGTGTGATGGAAGGATTTTCTCTGCACAATCCAGGCAATGTGTGGATGAAATGATCTCTCTTGCCCATCTTGGCCAGAATAAAGTAATGCCTTGATCCTCTAACACTAAAGCTGTGGGAGAGTTTTTGTTTTTCCCACAGTTTCAGTGACAAGGCCACCCACAACATGAACTTCAACAAAACTTTTGAAGTAATTTGAGGAAAATTTTCTCCTCTAGCACATTCATTTTTCCTACCCCTTCGTGAGTCACACACATGGAGTGTGGTATCCAACATCTGTCCTGCTGAGCAACCCAAAATGGTGAGAGCTCACTCCAGTGGCAGAGAACATTAAAAGCATCCTGAACGAATAAACCTCTCTCCAAGAGGTTAGATGGGAAAACATAATAAAGAACTCTGTGACAATGGGCAATACAAAATAGCTTTTTGTACCACTGAATCCATCTGCTGTCTTACACAGCATTAACAGTACAATGTAATAATCACATTACTGCATCTGCTGGGTATAATCTAACCTGTCTGTTTTGTGTCCTGAAATACTAAAAAGTTCCTGGTACAGTTAGGTCTGTTGATGTAAACTGAACTGTTTTCTCTGGTCTCTCCTGCTACCTTCTGGCCAAAGTGTTTATCGTTCTCACAACACTTTCAAATTCATGAAATCCCGCAAATAGCCCAAACAGGAGATAAAAAACAAAAAACCAACTAACCAAAGAAACCACTGAAGCTCATTTAGGAACATACAAAGGGTGAGGTTCCACAGACACAGGAACAGCCCCAGCAGCATTGGCACCAGTGGCTCCATACCTAATACAACTAATGCTGAGATCAGATTTGTCTCCAGCCCACTCTGCGCTTTTCTTATCTGTTCTTACCTCAACTATTCACACCCATACCGGATGCCAAATGAGGCAGTTGTGGTTTAGGAATGGTATTTCCCAATTTAGTGTTCCCACTGAGCTACTCCAAAGCAAGCCTGAGGCTCTTTCACAGGATCACGGAAAGTAGGAATACAGAGAGGGCTTAACAGAAAGATGGGGACCACTATTTAGTGTTCCCACTGAGCCACTCCAGTCCAACCATGAGGCACTTTCACAGGATTAAAGAAAGTGTGAATATGGATAGGGCTTAACAGAAAGATGGGGACCACCAAGGGTGAGAGACACCCAGGAGAGCACCAGGAGCTCCAAGTTCTGCTCCTCATGCCCCACCTCTCCCCCTCACTGCTGTCATAGGCAGAGGGAGGGACCAGCAGGGACTGGGCCTGAGAGCAGTGACAGAGGCCCAGGCAGGGCAGGTGTGGGCAGAGCTGCTGTGCAGGCACAGAGAAGCTGGAGAGAGGCCACACAGAGCGGGCCTGGCCATGTGGAGTGCCCTGTGCGTGGGCTTCTTGCCCATTGTAGGTGAGTGAAGGCAAGGGCTGATGGCCCCAGGAGCTGAGCGTGGCCCTGGGCTCTGCAGGGCTCTGGGGAGCTGTGCTGAGCGCTTGCAGCCAGAGCTGTGCCCCAGCTGGAGCTGCCCAGCCATGCCTGTGAGCTCGGCACCTCCATCCCAGCTGCCTCCTCTGCAGCCCGGGCACACGCAGGGCACCTCCCAGCTGCACTCAGATCTCGGGGCCCAGCGCTTTGCCCTGGCACTGGACACTGCTCCTGGGGCATTGCGGCCCCTCTGGCACAGACCAGCTGGGGCATGGCAGCACAGGGCACAAGCCCCACTGCCTGGGACAGCCCTTTGTCTTTGCTGTGCTCACCCAGAGCAGGTTCACAGACAGCACAGTGGGTTCCTCACCATGCTGTCTTGGCAAGGACAAAGGAATTTGTCCCCCCATGGTGCAAATCCTTCCTGCTTCTTTGGGGAAATTCAGGAAAAGCTTCCTGTCAGACTGGGTGGAGGGAAATGTGGTGTCTCCATCCTTGTGAGCCTTGCTAGCTGCCACCAGCTCTGCCCATCTGTGTCAGCTGGCTTCAAAGAGGAGGATTTTGTCCTCCCACAGTTCCAGTGCCCGTCCAAAGCCCCACCAGCACTGCCCTGACCTTTGCTGGATCTTGCAGTGATTGTGCCTTGTTGTTGCTCTCTGCAGCAGTGTCTCTCGCTGGTGCAGCCACCTTGGAGCAGCTCCCCAGGGAAGTTTCCGTGCAAGAGGGAAAAGCAGTCACCTTGCAGTGCCGCATGAAGGGGGATACTATGAGGTACTACTCCGTCTCGTGGTACCGTCAGGGCCCAAGTGGCTCTCAGGAATGGATTTACAAGGAGGATGGCACCTATGGCGAAAGTTTCAAAGACCGCTTTAAGATAAAAGATGAGAAGTTCATGAACAGATTCCCACTGCAAATCCTGGCAGCAAAGCCAGAAGATGCAGCAACCTACTACTGTCGTGCAAGAATCACCCTGGAGCAGCTCTGCAGCAGAGTGAACCAAAAACCAGCAGATGGGGAAGACAGATCGCTCAGCATTTCTTTCTGGCAGCTGCTCCCCAGGGCTCTTGTCGGGCAATGGCAGGTGCAGGAAACATCCCTCTGGCTTGGGGGCACTAAAAGGCACTGCAGGGAGGGCTGCTAGAAGGGCTGGTACCATTGATGGTGCAGGAGGATCTGTCCTGGGAACTGCACAGGCTGCAGTTTGGGCAAGTGCAGGTTTAGCGCACGTTTCCTGGGCTCCTGTCCAGCACGCCTCATTTCTCCTCGGTGCCTTGGCTGCAGAGCCATGGGATGATGGGGATGTGTTGCTGGAGCTTCCAGAGGGCTGTGGTGGGTGCAGCCCAGCTGTTCAGGAAAGCCAGATCAGCATTGATCTGGCATTGCTCTACATTGATTGACATTGCTCTACAGGGTGGCTGCTACAGAGCACCTGACCAGGAAGAAGGAGTTGAGACAGTGTGGTGAGTTGACTTTGCTTGTCCTCCAGGGGCTCAGCAAGCTGCTGTCTCAGTGCCCTTCCTCTGCTGGACAGGAGGAAAACCACACAATTTATGTTTCTTGGTCCAGATATGACCAAGAGATGTCCCTGCAGTGCCATCATATGCAAACACATTGACTTGGGGAAAGCAATTTAAGTAAATGCCAATCAAATCAATATAGGTTAGTGAGAAACAAGAACAAGTCATGAAACATCTCTTCCATGTGATCACTGCACATGGATGGTGAATGTGGCTTACAATCACTTCAAAACATGTTTTCTTTGCCATTTCTTCTTTCTCATTCTCTTCCCCTGCTTCAGTGTGGAGTCCAACCCATGGATGGCATTTCTCCAGAAACTTCTCCAGTACAGGTTCTTCCCTCTGGCTGCAGTTCCTCACAAACTCCTCCAGCCCAGTGGGTCCTTTCCATGGGGTGCAGCCCTTCAGAAACACACTGTGGCACTGTGGCTCCTCTGTGGGACACGGGTCCTGCCAGAAAACCTCTTCTGGCGTGGGCTACTCACTGCATGGGACCACAGCTCCTGTCAGGAGCCTGCTCCAATGGGAGCTCTCCATGCAGTCACAGATTTTGTCAGGCCATGCCCACTTACTCCCGTGTGGGTTCCTGCACTGTCTGCATAGTCAATATTTGCTCCACCACCTATCCCCCACTAAGTGAGAGGGACAAACCTTGGTTTTCAACCTTGGGCAGCTGGGGAATATCTGCTCTGGTCCCTGCAGCACCTCCCAGCCCTGCTTCCTAAATCCTCCTCCTTGCTAATTGCAATACTGATGCTTAGAAGAATGAGTCCTGCCTGAGACTGTGAGATTTTACCTCAGCGTTTGTTGTTCTGAAAGCCCAGACTACACCAGCTCTTCCCAGCTCAGAATACCCTGGAGCAAAGACAAAACCCTGGAAGGGCAGCTCTGCTCAGCTTCTCTGGGGCTCCCACGGAGCCTCAGATGTGGCTCAGCCCAGGAGGGGAGAGGGACAGGCAGGAGCAGAGACTGGAATAGGGACAGCAGAAAGGCAGTGAGTACAGTTAATTTTCTTCATAGTAGCAGGAATGGGACTGTGTTTTGAATCTGTGCTGGAAAGAGTGTTGGTAATTCAGGGGTGTTTGAGTTATTGCTGAGCAACACTTACATGGAGGGAAGGCCTCTTCTGCTCCTCATTCCACCCACCAGTGAGTAGCTGAGGGTACCCAAAATGTGGGAGGGAACACAGCTGGTTCAGCTGACCCTAGTTGACCAAAGAGGGATTCCAGGCCGTAGGACATCATGCTCAGCATATAAAGATAGGGAAGAAGAAGGAAAGCGGGGATATTGAGTGATGGCATTTGTATTTCCATGTAATCATTAAACCATGTAACCATTAACCATGATGGATCTCTGCTTTTCTGGAACAGGTTGAACTCTTGGCTTTAGATGGGAAGTAGTCACTGAATTCCTTGCTTTGCTTTGCTCATACATGCAGCGTTTGCTTTATTTATTAAAGTGTTATGTGCTAAACACATGAATTTTCTTACTTTTACTCTTCCAATTCTCTCCCAGTCCAATGAGGGGCAAAGGATC